GGGGATGGGGCAGGGTCAAGAGGTGGAGGGGCTCACGAGAAGCCTTGTTGGGCTGCGGGGAACACTGCCTCTCCCCGGGTCTGACGTGCGAGGGGTGGAGCATCCGCTCAGCCTGTGAGATGCGGAGCCCCTGGGGTGGAGATCAGCACACAAACTACATCAGTGCCGCGCTGACTCACGCCCCGAGCTGAGCCATGCGCCTTCCAAGACATTTCCGGCCCAAGTGATAGCTTCCTCTTCAGCCAAAAATAAACGAGGAGCAGCCAGAGGGCAGGGGAGGAAGCGGGAGGCTGCGGACGGCACCGTGCAGGGGGGAAGCAAAGGAACCCCGGCACCAGCTCCCCGTCCTGGGAAGAAGTGCTTCTCCGCTGGGGCCGGGCAAGCCTCCAGCATGGCTCGGGGAGGAGGGAGAGCCGAGACAGAAGCCAGACCCGACGCCTGCAGCTCGGAGAAGGCAGAGGACAGACGCTGAGTGGATGGCAGGGGTCTGGTTTCCAGTGGGAGCGGGGTCCCCGTGCTGGCGTGGCTCTCCTGGGGACGGGCACCTTCGCGGGGCCAACCTTCGGAGGCTGCTTTTGGAGGAAGTGAGTCACTGAACACCCGGCCGTAGCCTGAGCAGATTTGTCCTTCTGTCCTCTTCTGTGATAACGTTCTCTGATGCCAGGTTTCCAAACAAGGGCTGGAGAGGACATTGTCTCAGAATTCTCACACGCGTTTTCCTGGTTCCTGTTTCCATGAGGCGCCCTTCCCAATGGATGAATGATGAACGAACGAGTCCCTGGTCAAATGACAACAGGGGGTGCTGCCTGTCCGTCTCCCTTTGGGAGTTTCAGGTGAACCGAGTCCCAGCTCGAGTCCTGCACTTAAGGAAATTAACACGTCGTTTTTCAAACTAACTTGACTGTGGACGGGCTTGCTGTTTTTCCATCAGAAAACAACGTAGACCTTGTGGATGAGGCCCCTGGATTAGACAATCTGTGTGATCATAGAGGGTGGTCTTTGCCACGGGTTCCCCCCCTTTAAGTAACACCTACTAATGTCTTAAGAGAGTCTCACGTTCTGCAGGGCGCATCTGAAGACACGCTGGCTTACGGTAAGGTCTTGCCCATCAGGAGCGTGCAGACAGCATTCCCTTCACAGCATTTGTGGCGCAAAAAGTCTGAGTGGGTGGCCTTGTGCCCACTCACCCATCAGCCCGGCCTGGACCCACGAAATCCTTTTGCAAGATGGCTTCCCGAGGTAAGGATGCAGCTCGTGGCCACAGACAGAGCGTGATCTAGGTCTGCATGAAGCCGCCATCCGCAGCCCCGGCCTTCTTAGCTCAGCCCTTTACGGCCCTGATTCTCTAATCCCGGTCACTCCTGGTATTGGCAGGTGGCATTTAGCAACGTGGTCCTTTAAAACGTGTAAGTGCCACTGCGAGGCAGCCCTGAGCATAGACGGCAAAGAATTCGTGAATGTGCGTCTGAACTGACTGTGTGGATTCTTAAGTCTGTGTCTTGGAACGGCAGCAGGCCTGAAGTGAACCCCCTCTAAAGTTGCAGTGGTTTTTGGCTCAGACTCTGCAAAAGCGGCTCTCAAGCGTTGCTGCACCTTAGAATCAAGCTTCCACGTCTGATGTCTGTTCTCTCCCACTCCCATTCAGTCGCAACGTGGCGGCTGGGGACCAGATATTTGAACTTCTTAAAGACCCCCAGCGGTTCCAACATGCAGCAACGCTGCGGGGGCGCTGGTTTGGAAGTACTTTCAGTGCTTGTGTGAGGGAAAGCAGGACAGGAATTCATCCTCATCTTGTAAGTGAGACGGCAGAGGTCGTAAGAAGTGAAGGGACGTGACCAAGGTCACATGTTTGCATCGATTTCCAGGCACGTGTCACTCCTTACTGAGGCCAAGCCCAGAGCATCAGACTAGATTCTGGGGATGAGCTGGGGCCGGGGCGGGGACGCTGTGTGGGAGGCGCTGGGCTGTGAAACCCAGAGGACTGAGCAGGGGTGCCTGAAGGAGAGACAAGTGAACCGCTTCAGTCCTGTGCCTCCTGCCCCCGCCATCAGCACCGTTTCTGTCCGCAGACGGCTGCTGTGTGTGTCGTTTCTAGGGAGACAAAGCTGGACCTTTGCACCAGAGTTGGAGGAAACTGTAAGAGCACACAGTATGTCTTCAGACTCCATGTCAACTATTTTTTCTCCTTTTATTTTCAAACGAACGAGGCCTCCCCGTGACTACTGAGGCTGTTTCAGACATTTCCCCTCCTTGGTTTTACAGGATCCGAGTGTCTGCATCAGCAGGTGTGAGAAAACTGACCAGTGTATCGAATATTTCTATCAGCCGGAGAGGCTGTTGTGGGGACAGAGGGATGTGGTGAGCGGCTTTGAGAAGGATGCTGTTGAAACGAACAATTCACTAATAATTGGGCTTCTTTTTAAAAACATCTAAAAAAATTAAAAAAATTTTATTGGAATGTAGTTGATTTAACATGTTAGTTTCAAGTCTACAGGAAAGAAATTCAGTTACACTTATACTTATATATTTTTTTCAGATCCTTTTCCATTATATGTTATTATAAGAAATTGAATATAGTTCCCTGTGCTGTACAGTAGGTCCTTGTGTTTATCTATTTTATGTACAGCAATGTGTATCTGTTAATCCCAGACTCCTAATTTATCCCTCCCCTCCTTTCCCCTTTGATATCTGTAGTTTGTTTTCTATGTCTGTGAACCTGCTTTTGATTTGTAAATAGAATTTGTATCATTTTTAGATTCCACATATAAGTGATGTCATATGATACTTACCCTTCTCTGACTTGTCTCACTTAATATGTTAATCTCTAGGCAATCTCCGTATTGCTGCAAATGGCATTATTCCATTCTTTTTCTGAGCTGAGTAATAGTCCATTGTATATACATACCACTCTTCTTTATCCAGTCATCTGTTGATGGACATTTAGGCTGTTTCCATGTCTTGGCTGTTGTAAATAGCGCTGCTATGAACATTGGGGTGTGGGTGTCTTTTTGAAGTAGGGTTCCTTCTGGATATATGCCCAGGAGTGGGACTGCTGCATCATATGATTAGTCTATTTTTCATTTTTTAAGGAACCTCTGTACTGTTTTCCACAGTGGCTGCACCAATTTGCATTCCCACCAGCAGTGCAGGAGGGTTCCCTTTTCTCCACACCCTCTCCAGCACTTGTCATTTGTAGACTTTTTAATGGAGGCCATTCTGACTGATGGGAGTTGATACCTCGTTGTAGCTTTGATCTGTGCTGTTGAGCATCTTTTCATGAGCCTGTTGGATGTCTTCTTTGGAGAAATGTCTCTTTAGGTCTTCTGATAACTGGGCTTTGTGAAGCTTCAGGGTTCATTAACGAGAAACTTAGAGGCAAGGGGGAAAGAATTTTCCCAGATCCCCCAGCCATCACCAGCTTAAAGCCTTTCCCACCATCTGACACTGCAGTTCCCTCCTATCATGCACATGCGGAGAAGGACACATTTCTAGCAGCTCTACCAATTTGGAAGCTACATGAGGGATTCCCTTTGATGGGAGGTGGGCAGACATGGACAGGTGATCCTGTGGATGACACGCTGTGTGTTAACTGCGGACTTGGAGAGGGTGGCCTGATGTTCTGGGATTCTATGGTAGATCTTAGATGGAGAAATACGATGCTTCAACTTCTATTTTATTATTATTATTATTGATTCCATGAAAGTGTCTCTAGTTTAGAGGACCATTTGGGCATTATTTCTCCCCTAGCTTCAGAAAAATGATATTGTGACTTCTCCTAATAATGTATTGTCATGAAAGACTGCCAACAAGACTTAACGGTAAGGACTGCGAGGCCTGGGTCTGAGTAGGTTTGACAAAAACTAGCTTTTTTTTTTTAAAGGGTATGAATGAATCTCTGTACTTTGTCAGGTGTGTTATAATAAAATGGTGACATGGTGAGTAATTTCTGTAAGTACAGTGGAATTTAAGGTTTCCCCTGTCAGTAGCATCCTTGCTTGCAGTCCGCAGTGGTTCCTCGATTAGGAGAGGACAGGTGTGGAAAATCCGGGGCTTGCTTTCCTGAGGGGCGTGTCTCACACATGAGCAAGCCAGCGCTCATGGACGTTGCAGCTGAAAGAAAGATTTGGGACCATTACTCATGCAGCCTAAACCAGGCCTCCTCAGAGTGGGGTCCTCAAACTGGCCGCGGCTCCTGTGAGTCTCTTGGAAATGCAGGTTCTCAGGTGCCCAGAGCAGACCTGCTGAATCCGCATCCCTGGGGGTGGGGCCAGTCGCCCAGGTTTTCACCAGCTCTCCAGGTGGTCCCCATGCTCACAGAGTCTGAGCGGCACTGCCCTGGGCTGATGGCTCTCAGAGCAGGGTCTCCGGGGGGGAGCTCGCCCGCCAGCTCATCAGACACCACCTGCACTCTGTCCCTGGGTGTCGGCAGGAGGTGGCAGAGATGCTCCTGCGGCTGCCGGTGTTCACAGGTGAACCTGTAAAGGAATGCATTCTCGGATGCACACTTCCCGGTTCCCATCTGTGTTCCAACAACCCTCCAGGTGGATGCACTCGGCGTCTGAGACCCACTAGACCTCAGTTTCCATCGAACTGCCCACACGCATGGCCGTGTCCGGCATGAGGACTTCCCTGTCTCAGCCCCGCAGTGCTGGGCTGGGGGTGTGGCCCGGGGCAGGAACTCAGCCCCCTGCAGGGCTGCGACCACATGTGGGCTCTGCTGGAGAAGTCGGCCGGTTTTGAAGTGGGGCCTTTTCACGCAGCCTCCACGCAGCCTTTCCCTGCGCTTGGTCCTTGAAGACTCGCAGATGGAAGGCAGAGGCCTAGAGATGGCCCGACCTCGCGCCCGGTGCCCGGTTCAGCCTGTCTCCCCGGCTCCCGGGGCTCTTCCCCATCTCTGAGCCTCAGGACGGCCCCTGAACACGGGATCCCGGGAGGCTGCTGACCGCTTTCTCCCACGCCCCTCTGAGCTGGCCCTGGCTAACAGGTGTGTTTCCCCAAAGGTGTCTCAACCTTCGATGTGAAGAACTCTGTAATGATGGGGAGGACTGATGCAAGAAAGATGAAGACAGATGAAGGTAGGGCTCGGCCGCAGCTGGAGGACCTGGGGCGGAGCACAGCGGTGGGGCTCGGGGCAGGGGGCACTGTTGCTGTGACCGGCACACAGCTCGTTCCGCTCCCGTGGCTTTAGGTCCACCTCTGCCAGGTACCAGCGGATGCCCTAACCTGTAGGATCTTTGAGTTTTGCATTTGCTCTGGGAGGACAAGGATGCACACTCATGTCCGTGCTTTTCTAGTGAGAGGTGCTGTCCCACGACTGTCTTCTGCAGGCCGGGCAGCACATGGCTCTCGCAGGGCCATGGAACCTCCCTCAACACTCTTTCCTGGTGGATCTGACCCCAGATGATCTCTGGGTCCTGACATGCATGAGGGAGGCTGGGAATGGCTTTAGCATCTGTGTCTTCTCTTGATTTATAGTATTTTTCACCGAGTTCAGGCTGGAGGTGGCAAGAGGAACCTCTTATATCCCCTGCCTCTCAAACTCCCATCCCAATGACCAAGGGAACATAAAGGTAGGGGAGGCAGGCACCACTCGAGCGAGCAGGCGAGGGCTGCCGCTGCAGGGGGCGTTTCTGCGGGACACAGCGCTGAGCTGCAAAGGGGAGCGGGAAGGGCTGGCCTGCCTGCGACTTGGTGTCCACGGAGGGACAGGCCGCTTCCTAAACTAGCGGGTGGATTTTCCAGTAAAGTGTCCTCCACCCCGACACCCCAGATTTCCGGCCAACAGCTATAGTGAAAACCTTACGGATGTTCGAGCCCGTTGTGCTGAATTTGAACCCAAGATTTGCTAGTTGTGCAAGGCGGTCGACCTGGGCCTCGCCCTCTGTGAAACGGGGAAAACAGGCATGACAGGGTGTGCGCAGGGCGAAGTGAGGCGGTGGGGCAGGGAGACACGGCGCAGGTGCTCGCGGTTGCTGCGTGCTGCTCTCTCCGTGCTGGGTGCTGCGCTGAAAGCCTCCCCTAAATGGTTCCCTTTAATCCACAAGGCAGCTGCATGGAGCTGGCCTTGTTCTAGTCACTGTTTTACACGCAAGGCCACTGAAATGGAGGGGAGCCGGGGACTCGCTCGCGGTTCGCAGCTGTGGAAGGGGTGGGAAGGAACTGGGGCCCAGGAGTCCCAGGGCAGCGCCCCAGGCTCTGAGCCGGACTGCGCCAGGTCCTTAACACGTCGCCGTCTTAACCCTTCCACTCGCCCTGCGCTGACCGTTCTTACTGGTAAAGTAACAGAGGTTCAGAGGTTAAACCATCTGAGGTCTCCAGAGGTCGGAAAGCCAGCCCGCTCCACCCCCAGTTCCCTGCGCTTTCCCACCCCCGGACCGTTAGTGAATGTGCCCTGTGGGGCGTCACTCTGCCTCCCACCTTTGGGTTAGATTTTATTTGCACCGAATACAAGGGCTCTGACGCCGGTCCCGGTCGGGAGAACATCAAAACGTGCTTCCATCCCCCCGACCCGAAGCGCCGAATCCCTGCCTGTGGCGCCTCTGAAGCTGCCTGTTTCTCTTTGCTGGTAGAACTCACAGAAAACAGCGGGCTTCCCCTGAACCTGCTGGAGAGACACGAGCCCTGGCCGGCCTCCGTCACGTACATCTCCCCGATGGTGAAGGAGCTCATGGAGAAGAGCCAGGCGAGAGAGCTGGAGTGCGCGCAAGCCGCGGAGGAGGGCCGTCGGGCGGGCAGGCAGAGCAAGCCTTCCAGCGTCGTCCAGCTCAGAAGGAAAAAGGCATCCAAGGTCTCCAGCAACATGATGTTCAAGGACCTGAGATTAGAGACCGCGGTGTCTGTGTGGGGGCCTTTCTCTGTGTCGGCCGCCGGCCCCCCTGTGATGCCAGAGCCCATCCACTTTCACATGGGTTCCCGAGGGAGCCCCACCGCCAACTATAACAAGATCATCTTCTCCCGAAAACCCACCACGAGGAGGCTTCCGTACAGCTCGCTTCTGGCCAGCAGGGAGACGCAGTCCAGCGTTTAAGGGCGAGTCCCGCAGCCAGCCCCCAAGACTGCACCGCAATTAAGCTCCCTTTGCTGCAAATTCCACTATGGCCTTTACGTTTGAACTGGCCCCTGCCTATGCAGAGGTTGGCTGAGATAAAGCAGGTTGAATGTGGGCCGTGGGTGGGTGCACCCCCTCCTGGCAGCGTAGGCAGACGGGGGCGGGAAGCCCCGGCTCTAGTCCCCTCCCCCTCCTTTGATGCTCAGGGCCCAGCGTGGGTGAGTTCATCCCAGACCAGGCAGGAGATGAAAGTCACACCGGGTGTTTGACCAGAGATGCTTTAGTAGAAAGCATGACTCACCAGATGACTGGAGAGGCAGGGAGGGAGCAGAGGTACGGACGGAGGTGACACCTGTAGGAAGCAAGCTGGGGGCACGTAGGACTCAAGTGTTTCTGGAAGGAATTAGCATGGCCTGTGGGGAGGAAAGGATCCTGGGGGAAGCAGAAAGGGGCAGGAACCAGCAGGAAGCAAACCAGAAGCGAGTTCCCTCTTCTGCCTCCCGCCTCCCAGCTGCCTCCGGGCCCCTGAGGGCAGAGCCTAGCGGGCAGGGATGCAGGAAGGCGATCTGAGAAGCCCAAACCCTGCATCTCAAAGCAGAGTGCTCGAGGATGGACCCCAAGCCAAGGGGAAGACGAGCTCAGGGCCCTGCCCAGTGGGGTTCTGGGGGGCCTCACCTTGCTGCTGCACTTGGTGCCTGAACCTGGCGTGGGAACGTCTCCTTCCTTGAGGGCTTACAGAGTGGCAGTGGGGGGCCCAGGGGGCCCTGCTGAGAAACGGAGGACTTTCTCCCTGTGCTTGTTTAAGTCTTGCCTGTGGAGCAGACTTGGCAGTGGAGAAGGCCCCGGCCGGACCCCAGCTGTGGCTTGTCGGACACAGCTGGAACTGGTCCACCCATCCTCCGAGCTGCTCTCGACTGGCTCTGCTCCATCTGGAAGCAGGCAGGGTTTGTCTGTAGACGCGAGGGGGTCCGGTTAGGACAGGCAGGCCCGCCCGCTCTCAGATTTGGGGTTTGTCTGGAGAGCGTGGCCTCACTGGTAGCTTCTCTCTTCTGGACCCCACCTGATGTGGACCCTGCCACATGTGCTTACGTTTGGGATGCAGTTAACGCTCGCTCATCCTGCTTGCCTTGCAGAGGTGTAGAGGATGCAGGGAGCCAGTGACTGGAAGTGACGCTTGGGAGGCTGGATTCGCCCTACAAATGCATTCTTGCCACCCAACAGCCTCGTGGAGACGTCTGGGCTCCACTCTGGCGGCTGTGAGCTGTGTAGGGACAGCTGCACATATCAGGGGCTCCGGACCAGTCCTGGGTTCACAGCTCTTGGCCAGAATGCATTCCTGCAAAAAGGATCGGTGATTTCCAGTGACTCTGAGGGACTGTGTTTTGTGTCCGTGGAACAGTCAGAGATGTGGAGGCCGGTGATCAGTTCTCAACAGGAATCTGAAGGTTTTATCTCTTCCCTCCTTTTATGGAAGCTCATGGCCAGAGCACATTTGAGGAGCTATGGGTTGTGTTAGAGTTTACAGGGACTTGGAGTCGTCTCGTGCGATTCCTTTGAGGGCAGAGCAGTGGTACAGATTTGTTGCTTTTTGAGTTTCTAGGTGTTTGGTAGTTTTCACAGCAGTATACACTCCCTGAATTAAAATGGTCATCGTACAGGTAGCATTGCTTAATTTAATTCTCAGCCTATTAGAACCGCGCGAACGGGACCCGAGGACCTCAGCACCCGGTGCTGAGGTGCTTGTGCCTGGGGCCCAGACGCAGTGCCTCCCGGCGCCTTTTTAAAGAAGAAAAGGTCTTAATTCCTTTGCGATGGGGGCCTCTGTTCAAGCCCAAAGTGGGTTTGCAGGTCTGGCCACCACAAGGACCTCGTCAGCCCTGACAGTGTTTGCGTGGGGACCGAGGAGGCTGCCGGCAGCGAGTTCTCCCCGGGAAGCAGCCACCAGCTGGACCCGCGGTGAAGCCTCTGTCACGGGAAGGAGGTGTCCCTCAGTAACCGCACGGGCTGTTGCTTAGACCTGAGAGCGTGGAGGTGGGGGCCCAGGAGCCAAAGTCTAAGAGGAGTCTTTTGCTAAAATCCTGCAACAGTCCTGGAGCATCACCAAAACCGTAGGGGAGAGACAGCTTCTCCACCTCACCAGGCGCCAGCGGGCGGGGTCCCACTGCCCTGGGCGCAGCAGCGGGTCTGGTAGAGCCCAGCCTTGTTCATGAGAAGCTGGGAGACCTTCCTGGGCTCCCAGAGCGGGCCTGGGGCTCTTCCAGGGCCTGCAGTCGGTGCGAGCATGGGGGCCCGGAGCAGTGGAATGCGGATTCCTCAGGAACTTAAGCTCAGCTGCCTTCCACGTGGGGGCCGGGGAGGCTCAGGTTACTCCGGACACGTTGCACTTGGTCTCTGAGAGGGACGGCCTCGCCCTGATGGGCCGAGGCCCACGCCCGCCCCTCTGATTTATCCCCGCCGCATCTGGGATTTTCTGCTTGGCAGGAGCGTTGTTTCACTCAGTCTCCCTGCTCTTGTTGGTTTATGGAACATCAGAGCTTGTATTTTGTCAGCCCTTCTGTGTTGCTCTGTAACTCAGGCCCCGTCTGACACCTGTGGGGAGCTGTGGATTGGATAAGTCCTCTGGCCCCCGTGCACAGAGGACTTTACCCCTCGGCAGTTCCCACCGTTGGTGTTTAGACAGTGGGCGCGGCCAGCTGGGGCCGTCAGGGCACCAGCAGCTCCCCGTTTGCTAGGCCCCCGCCATGGCCTGGGGCCTGCCTTGTGGGACATTAGGCTGCTGGACAGATGAGAGGCTGCAGGAAGGTCCTCGGGGACCGGACTGCATAAACAAAGATTCCAGGGCTGGTGTGTGAGGGCCAGACGCTCGAGGGTGGCCCGGGAGCCCTCCGACTGGAGGCCAGGGTGGGGCCGAAGCCGGGGGCCTGTGGGAGCCCGGACCTGATTGATGGCGCTTGTGATCGGCGCGGCGTAACCAGTGAACCCTGCTGGCCTGGCGTCCTTACACAGGGCACGGGGGTCTCATTGCCTCCTTAGTCTTTTTTTGGGTCAGGGATGAAAAATGGGCACCCCGAGGCCGGGATTTTGAAGCTGGGCTTCAATGGGGGCCCTGGGAAGTGGCAGGGGATACAGCACAGGAGTCCCAACCAGGGACCAGCCCCGTGTCCCTGGGGACCGAAAACCAAGGGCAGGAAGCCTGGCCCTGCAGCCTCGCTGTGTGTCAGCCGAGGCAGTATGAAGATGGTCCCTGCCTGGACCTGCAGCTCTCTGTTCAGCGTTAGCCCAGTCATTCATTCCTAGAAGCTTCTTGGAGCGACGGGCGTGCTTTCAGAGCCCACCTTTACGGGTGCCACGTAGGGCAGAAGGAGAGGTGAGGGAGGGATGGGAGCTGGGGCCTGGGGTTTACTGCGATGTGATGTTGTCAGAGCCCAGAGCCAGGCGCAGGCCTGGGTGTCTGTCAAAAAATCCAGAAACCCTCCCTCTTTCCCCTTCCTCCCCTCCTCCACCTCTTACCAGGGACCCAAAGCCTCAACCAGCTACGTAGGTCCTTGGACATCACACTGCGGGTCCTAAACCAGTAGTGCACGGCGGGGCAAGGCCTGTTCCTGGCAGTGAGTGTGCACACGGAATCCTCTGGGTGCGGGGCAGGCCAGGCCAGCAGGGGGTGCAGGAGCACCCCAGTTTTAGGTGGGCCCTACTGCCACGCCCTTTTGTGTGCCTTGATCCCGACCAAGATCTGATCTGCACATGGGACGGGGCAGGATAAATAATGTCACGAAAAGGACATGGGACTTGGTGTCAAGACCCCCATACCTTCCCCCAGGCTCTCTCCTCCAGGGAAAATAAAAACTAGCCCCTCACCCCGAGGCCTTTCTAGGAAGCTTCTGTGGCTGGGGGCCCAGCCAGGCTGGTGGTTTCAACTCACTTCCTCCCAGACTCAGTTGTGCAGCCACCCAGAATCTCCTATTATTTTGGGTGGACAAGGCATGTGCTTGCTCCAGGCAAGCGCGGACCGTTTGTGTGGTGCCTGTCTGCCAGTGGGAGGATTCTGCGTGGAGAGGAAGCTACAGTGGGAAGGAGGCTCGCCCAGCACGCCCGGCCCTCTGCGCGCGTGTGACTGCAGACGGTGGACCTCGCTTTCCTGGCTGACCCTGGGGCGAGCCAGCCCCTCTGGGACTGGAGCGCAGGCCCTCAGCTCCAAGACCAGGCTGTCTCTTCTTTACCCAGGCCCACCCCTCTGCTCCCACCCTTTCCCCCTCCCCCACTCCTCGCCCTCCTCCTCTCCTCCCCCTCCTCCCCCTCCTGCTCCCTTTCCTCCTCCTCCCCACTCTCTCAGTTTCATCAGTGGCCGTCCTGCCGTGTATCCTCAGGAGGGCAGACGTGTTCTGTCACAGGTTCAGCAAAGGCGCCTTCTGTTGCGAAGTGGCTCTACTAGAAGCCTGTCCTCCATGGCCCACTCGCCCAGAGCCAACTCACCGTCCGCCGCTGGACCGGCAGCGCCAGGAAGGAGGCTCTGAAAGTGCCCTGCCGCCCGGCCAAGGTCAGTGGCGTTCACGGCTGTCTCCCCAGAGCCCAGCCGGTGGCCCTGCTCACAGCTGGTGCTCAGCGGCTTCCCGAGCAGGTGGTTTTACACCAGCAAGTCGCAACCCCACAAACAAAACGCCCTGGGAAGCGGTGGTTTCTTTTAGGATGTCCAGCGGCTGGGAAAACCACTTGACCAGGTTTTGTAGCCAGCCTGAGCCGTGGAGTGCGGGCAGCTTGGCTCCAAAGTTCCTTCTAGGATGAGAGTATGACTCCAGCGACCGACAGTGGGCCCCTTCGACGCCCCTTCCTTGTGGGGGTCGGAGGGTGGAAGGGACAGGGTGTCAAGCCTTAACCCTTAACGTCCAGTTGTTCTGTTCTTTTCAGGGACCAATTCAAGCCGCTCTGACGGAATTCCAAGCTAATTACACCTCTTTCCTCCAGCCTTGATCAGAAGGGACGTAATTTCCCAGACCTAAGATGGTCTCTCCTCCCGTGTTTGCAGCCTCACCGATGGGCACCCGACGGACTTGCCCTGGGGGCTTGCCGGCGCAGGTGCTGTGCTGGGGGCCTGGCCGTGGCCGTGGGAGACACTCAGGGTACGTCTGGCGGGGCCGATGTCGAACAGTCACGTTATCCAATCACAGTTGTGAGTGACGTGACGCAGAAGCAGAGGCTTCCTCGAGTGAGAGCCTCCTTGCTGTGAGCTCCTGACGGGTTCTCCCCAGGCGCACGAGCAAGGGTCAGAGAAGGAGGCAGGGTCAGTACCAGGACAGCTGCTCATAAAAAGGAGTGAGGTCATGGTGACTTTGGGCCAAACTGACATTTACTGGCTGGGCGAGCTCCGTGCGCGCTGCGAGCGGCCTGCCATCCTCGCCTGCCCGCCTTTCCTGTTTGTTTCTGTAGCGCCGTGGAGCCGTGCCCGGTCGGGGAGCTTCGGGACACGGCCGCCCCCTCCCACGCCTCTCAGCCACACACAGGCAGCGGCCACCTCTGCACGCTGCTCGTCCCGGGACACTCTCCTCCTGCCTGTCTGGAGGGCTGGGCCGGGCAGCTTCAGAGGAGGCTTCCAGCCACTATATTGTCCCCACGAGACCTCGGGCAGGGGCCCAGGTCCAAGCCTTCTTCCTGGGGCCCTGGCCCGTGAGCCTCCCCCCAACTTCCCCAGGTCTCAGAGCAAAAGGACCAGTTCCGTCCTTCTGCGTCATCTCTGCAGACCGCCCTGCGTTCCACCAGCTCGTCCGGGTTCTTGCCTTCCCCTCATAGACCGGGGCAGAGGGTGCCTTTCAGCCCAGGGAGAAGGCACCTCGTGTTTCACGGTCCCCCTGCTCTAGCCCCTTCCCCGCTTCCTCGTGTCGCAGGGCCCCTCCCCCTCTCCCCTGCTCCCCACCTTTCCCTCCTTCCTTTCCATTTGATCTTATTGCTATTTTTTATTTTCGTGTCATTGCAAAACTAAATGACGCTTGTTTTAAGGGGCACAGGCTCCCTGCAGTGTAAGTGACCAAGTGGCCTCGCCTGCACAAACTTTAGGAAAAGCATGTCCCTTTGAGGCTCAGACGCTGAGGTCCTCGGGGAGGTCCCAGGTGCTCTCAGAAAAGTCTGAGGAATAGTCCACAAGCCCGCCCCTCGTGGCTGCCTGTCGCCCTGGCCGTTCTCTCGCCCAGAGCAGCTCCTTCAAGGTCTCAGGTCACTGCCGCCCTGCTTCTTCTCAGCCCAGCCAGTGGGACCCTGTGGCTTCCCAAAGCACAGCTCTCCTAGTTTGTGACATCAGCAAGTCTGCCCTGAAGGCCTGGGGGCTGCCGAAGCCCAGCAGAGTCTGTTACAGGTCCACTGGAAGTGTCTGGGGAGGGCCAACTCCACCTCCAACACGGGCCTCAGTGCATTGCCCCTGCTGGGAATGTGGGTCCAGTCTCCAGTCAGTCCTGGAGATCCTGGAGCCAGCTCCACCTTGCTTTCTCTTGTCAAAACCTCCTTCTCTTCTCCATCCTAGGCAAAACTGCCACTGGGATGCCGAGTGCCTGGCCTGTAAAAGGTGGCTGAGTTCTCCTGGCCTGTTGAGAACAAACCCCATGGGCGTAGCGTAACAGTTCAGCCCTGGTCTGGTAGGTAGAAATGGCTAGATGTTTAAAAAAAACTTCACAAGTGATTTTAAAAATATACACAGGAATCACTCCTCAAGTGGAAACTGTCCCTTTCCAAGTCACCCATGGGACTCAGTGTGAAAAGTTGTGTCCTCGTTCCAGAAACACTGGGCCTGCTCAGAGCCTTTTGGTCTCCATTTTTGGTCCTTATTTTCTGCGTCAGTCCGTACATGGGCTGTACCCAAGCCCGGCTGCTTTAGAATTACAGGTGGAGGGTGTGGAAGCGTTGCTCGAGCTCACTTTACAGAGATCCTTTAACCTCAGCCAGGCATTGTGAAGATAAGGAAACAGAGGGTCAGAGAGGCCCCGGGATTTGGTTGAGGCTTTGAATTCCGTACACCTAGGTCTTCCCGATCCACTGCTGACGTCTGTCATGGACCAGGGAAGGGGCCGTGTGGTGGGCTAGGGCGAGCGGGCGGGCGGGCTCCTGAAAGAGCTGGGCTTGAGGAAGGAGTCCGCTGCGAGCGAGGGTGGACGAGAGGGTGGGGGCGTCCCAGATACATCCCAAAGTGGACTGCTATCTACAATTCCTTTTCTTAAAAAAAACGGCAGGCTGTAGATTTTCCTCTGAATTTTGCTGAGATGTTTTTTCCCCACCAGAGCACAGCAGGCAGGTGTTGCTCACGTCCACGCCCTCATCCCAGGGTGGGCCTGCTTTCTCCCGCTCCTGGAGACTTGGGTTTCTCGAAGCTCTCTGAGCTCGTCTCCAAGCCCGCCCTGCCCCCTTCTGTTTACTCCATCTTCGTGTGAAACGAGTTAAAGAGCAGCACTCTCCATGAAGGTCAGGGTGAAAACCACCAGCGGGACACACCGTTGTCAGAGCTTGCTTTTTTTAATTGAGGTGTAGTTGATCTACAATGTCATGTTAGTCTCTGGTGTGCAGCATGGTGACTCAGTTGCACATACGTGTATACACATCTCTTTTTCATTATAGGTTATCACAAGCTGTTGAATATAGTTCCCTGTGCTGCAGAGTACAGCCATGTTGTTTGTTTGTTTTATGTATAGTAGTGTGTATGCTAATCCCAAACTCCTAATTAATCCCTCCCCTGCTTTCCCCTTTTGCAACCATAGTGTTTTCTATGTCTGAGTCTGTTTCTATTTTGTAAGTAAGTTCATTTGTGTCATTTTTTAGATGCCACATATAACTGATATCATGTGATATTGGTCTTTCTCTGTCTGACTTACTTCACTTAGTATGATGATCTCTAGGTCCATCTGTGTTGCTGCAAATGGCATTATTTCATTCTTTTTCATGGCTGAGTAGTGTTCCATTGTATATCTGTACCACATCTTCTTTATCCAGTCAGCCTGTTGTCAGTACTTTAAAGGGCAGAATGGGCTCTGTGGCAGGTGGTCCATGTCCCCTCCCCTCTCTGCTCCCTAGGCACCAACTCCACCTGGATCTTTCTGTTGATGCCCCAGAGGGGACAGGGAGTTAAAATACCCGGAGCTGCCATCAGTAATGGACAATAGGAGGTGAAGGACAGATAGCCCCTAAGTCGGCTTCTTTGCCCCTAAGTGGGGTGGATAAGGAGGCAAGTCCTATCCTGTCTCCAAGTTCCCAGCAGGACGGAGCCTCGGGTGCCCGAGTAGCCGTCTGCTGGAGGACGCCCCATCCGTCAGCCTCCTTCTCTGTCCCCCTTCCCCGAGCTTCTGCCACTGTCTCCAGGTTTACGTCCCCAGTAGACTCCCTGCTCTTGAATCCTCACCTCAGGGTCTGCTTCAGGGGGAACCCAACCTAAGATGTCATCCAGGCAGCCCCTAGGTTACCCGGCCCCCCCGTTTCCCCAAGTCCTGATCAACACTGTGTACCAGTAGACGTTTTAATTTTTATCAACCTGATCAGTAGATTATGCATATTTCAATTTGCTGTCTCTTTTTTCTTTGCATTTGTTCGTATACCATTTGTATTTTTTCTCCTGTGTGTGTGTGTGTGTGTGTGTGTGTGTGTGTGTGTGTGAACCACTTGTTTACACGTTTAAGTAGTTTGAAAAATTGATTTGTTGGTCTTATACTTGTGGTTCACAAGTCCTGTGTTTATATTAAGCCCTTCAATCCTTTATTCATAACCTGTTTTTCAAACCTTTTCTCATCTTTTCATTTGTATTTTGATGTCATTTTAGTATTTTCGATATGGATAAAATTTAAAATATTTGTACAGTCAAACTCGTCAATATATACATTTTTGCTGGAGGTACTGGGGATTGAACCCAGGACGTCGCGCATGCTAAGCATGTGCTTTACCCCCTCCCTACCTCATGATGACTTACGGCCTCTGAGTTTTGTCTTAATTAGAAAAGCTTTTTCCTCTCCCAAGACTGTGTGAAAAAATTACCTCACGTTCCCTGCTAGCACTTTTACAGCTTTCCACCTTTTTAAATATGTATTTTCACCATAATTTATTTTAGTATAAAGACTTCAAGGAGGATTCAGTTGAACTTTTCCCCCAGTGGTTGGCCGGTTTTTCCAACAGTGTTTATCAAAGAATCAGTCTTTCTCTCAATGATTGGAAATTCGCGTTTCTTAGACAATAGATTACTCTATGTTTTCCAGTCTCTTTGGGGACTTTCTGTTTTGGCCCATTGATCTGTCCGTCTATTTGTAGGCCAGAGGCAAACGGTTTTCATTACTGCAGCTTTAGAATCTCTTCTACTGTCTGACACAAAGAAGCCCAGAGGGCCTTTCTGAAATTTTTCCTGATCACCACTGAGCCTTTTGGCGAGAGTGAGAGCGATATTCAGGGAGTAAAACTGCCCTCTATTCTCTTCGGTGACCAGCAGGGTGAGGGGAAGGCAGGCCCTCGATCCTGTTAACTGACAAGCCCCATTTTCCGGCTGGAAGGTGGAACGTCATAACAAGGCGATGGCAAAACAACAGCTCCGTGTATTCCTTCACTTTTGCGAAGTTGTGACCTGCCTGCCGCCTGCTGTCCTGAAGCCGCGCT